CTCAGTGTTACACACTTCAGTGGCTTTATCCTTCCCTGTCTCACTCCCGTGCTCCATCCCGGTAGCCTCTGGGAATGACCTTCCAAGGGAACTGCCTGGGTCCTAGTCCTTACTTCAGGCTCTGCTTTAAAGAGGTTGCAAACTAAGGCCCAGCTGGCAGAGAGCATGAAGAGGAGGATAGCAAAGCCCTGCTAGGGACTCCGGAGGCCCAAGTTCCCATCCTACAGGGCTACTTTCCTAGCACCTTATACAATCAGAACTCGCAGACTGAATCCTCAGGAGAATAAATGAGTGAAGGAACAATAGTAGGTGTTATTTGCCGCACTGCTGATCTGGGAACTGTGGCTGATGTTTTTAGGGCTCACCAACAACTTCTGGACCTATACTGTTAGTCTCTGATGACAGGAGCCCCCAAACCACTCTTGGAGTTAATGGTGACCAGGGGAGTTTTTCGGCCAATGAAATGTGAGCAGAAGTAGTGTGTTTCACCTTGGATGAAAGTTGTTAGGAGCTAGGGTACAAGGCTCCCTGCTCCCTTTGGCTGCCCTGAAGCAGAGTGAAGAGAGGAATGTGCTGGAGGTGAAGGCAGCTTGATTACTGAGCCCTTTCGTGGAAGACAGGACCTTGGACTGCAATGGAGTTTTATTTTATGAATGAGAAACTTCTGTTGTTTGGAGTCAGAGATGAGGGCTATGTTTGTTACTGCAGCATAACCCAGCTCATCCTGACTGATACACAGACCAAGCCCCACAGGAACTGACTGTAGAGCTAGACCAGGAATGAGAACACTTCCTCAGCCTTGGTTGCTCTTGTCACCGATGGAGGATGCTGCCCTCTCCCCTACTGTATACACAGCTATTTTTGGTGTGGCAGTAAGAAAGATCAACAAGGTGCATGGAATCCAAGGGAGACCACTTCCATTCTTTCTCACTTGGCCAACCTCAAGTGAGCTCCTTAAATGATCTATCCCTAAGGTGCCACCTGGCTTCCTTTACCTCTATGTAAAGAAGTTGGATGAGACCAGGGGTTCTGGAACTGCTCTGAAGAGGCCCTGATTCTTCAGAAGCACCATGGGTCTGGCAGGATGTACAAGTGCTCCCTATCACCCTTCTTCAAACGGAACAACTCCTCTTTTGTCTGCTTTGCATTTGGGGGTTTTCAAGTGCTGGCTGGAAGACTTGTGACTCCCAGAGGAGGGCATTTTACCTTCACGACTCCTGAGAACCCAGTGTATCTGTTCCCACCCGACACTGTCCAGCTGTGCAGTTCCAGAGCCCTCATCCCTGACTCCCAGCCATCCCTCGAGCCGAGGTCCCCGCTGTGAGCAGCAAAGTGGACACTTTCCATGCACTTGGCCTATGAGCCCCTGGTGTGTGAGCCACAGGTGCTTGCATGGCTCTGGGTGGGTCAGCCAGACATGAGCTTTACCCTGGGCTGCTGGCCCAGCATTCCCCAAGCAGGGAGGCACCTAGGGCAGAAGGAATAATGTGGGACCAGGAGTCTAGAAACCTCTACTCCAACCCTAGCTCATGCATCTACTGCATGCCTCAGTTTCCCCGACCGTAGAATAATGGTATCAGAATTTGCAAACAGGCCCGCACAGTGCTGCACAGCAAGCGATAGCCACAATAAAGCACGTGCAGCCACAGGCGCAGGACAGGGGAAGGGGTTTTGTCTGCAGGGGGAAAGTCAGAACTGGATGGGAGAGGGAGCCTCAAGATTCCATGAAGCTCTAACAGGGAAGTGAGTAAGAAAGCAAGTTTCACTTCCTAGCGAAATACTTTCTATTTATTGAGGTTGTCCCCATGGGGATAGGCTGGGAGCCTTGTTGAGCCTGCCTACTGCCACACCAAAAATAGGTGTGTGTATACAGTAGGTGCTCGCTAAATGTTGAACTTGTCCTGTGGGGCTCCCTAAGGAAAAACATCTCTGCAGCTCATTGATTTCTCCTCATCCCCTTTTTTAGCCTACCTCCTCCCCAAGTTAGCCATTTCCTCTCTTAAGTGGGTCTGAGTCTGACTTCCTGCTGCCTGGGGAAGCAGCTGTGGTGATCCAACCATGATGGACAGACAGTGGGTGCTTGATTAGCAGAGGACTGGTGCTGAGCTGAGCAGGGAAGCAGGAGAAAGTTGTCTCCAGGGAGGGAACAGTGCCCCATTCCATCATCCAGCACTGCTGGCTCCCGTGGGGAGAGGTAGGTGTCAGGACTCCCTGCCTTCCCAAGATCCTCTGAATGTGTGACCCAGAGGGGGGCTAGAACAGGGTGTCCTGCCTTTATCTAGAGGTGAACTAGCCTTGGACGGATTCTACAGCTGGGAAGAGGAAACCCAAAGCAGGGCCATCTTGGTCATATTACTAGAAGTCTCACCCAATATAAAGCCTATTTACTCCCCTCCTGGGGAAGGGAGACCTGGCCCTGGGCCCCAGACCTCTGCTGAGCTTGTAGGGACTCCGTGTACCAGACAGAAGGGTGTTGGAGTCTGACAGACATGCAGTTTGCATCTTGCTTTGTCTCACATGGCTGTGTGACATCGGGCAGGTTATGTAACCTCCTCATGTTTCACTTTCTTCTTTTTTTTCTTTTTTTTTTTTTTTTAAGAGCGGAATATATTTATTGAGGGAATGAGAAAGCTTCTGCCTGAGAGAGAGACAAAAGGGGTCTTAGGTGGGTTGCCCTTTCTTTTCTTTTGTCTTTCTTTTTTTAAATAGTGAGAACTGAACTCAGGAACATCTCATGGACATCTATCCATCTATGTATCTATCTATCTATCTATCATCTATCTATGTATCTGTGTATCTATCTATCCATCTATCTGTTTACCTATCATCTATCTATCTATCTATCTATCTATCTATCATCTATCTGTTTTAACTTTTGAGAGACAGTCTCTCTAAGTTGTCCAGAAGGACTTGAACTTGTGAGCTTCTTGCCTCAGCCCCAGTGTGCTAGGATTACAGGCGTGTACCACTGTTCCTGGCCCCAAGTTTCACTTTCTAAATGTATAAAACTGGTCAATAACACTTCCCAGGATTGTAGCAAAGACCCAATAAGGTAATACAGAAAAAGAGGCTGGCCAGTGCTTGGGTGCCTACAGATGCACCACTCCCACACAGCCATCTGGCTTTCCCCGGGACTAGAAGGGAGTCTCCCTCTTACAGCTGCCTCTGCAGGGTTTGCAGAAGACCTAGGTTGCCTGGATTCAAGTCCTGGTTCTACCTCATGTCAGCTCTGTGCCTTGGTCAACTAGTTTTGCCTCTCTATGCCTCAGTTTCCTCTCTGCAAAGTGAAAATGAGGCAGGAGATTAGGGCATGGGCAGCTGTCTGGGAAAGTGGGTGTGACCTGTCAATCTCAGAAATCCAGGGCACTTGTGCCCAAACCCTGCACCTGCGGCTAACCAGGAAATGCTATCTTCAACTCTTTTTTTTTTTTTTTGGTTTTTCTCCGGTACCAGGAACCGAACTCACGACCTTGCGCTTGCCAGGCAGGCGCTTTTGCCGCTGAGCTAAATCCCCAGCCCCATATCTTCAACTCTTCTGCCAGGAGATCTAGCAAGGTTTTGACAGAACAGCCTAGATCTGACATCAGCCTGAGAAATGGGCAATAAAAAAGACAACAGCCATAGACTCTGTGGCCACCGTGCTCTTTCCTTCTTCAGTGGCCCCCTCTCACCTGCAGAGCATACTTCTTTTCCTACCTTTAATAAATGTGAAATCTTTCGCACACTTGGTGTCCAATTTTTTGTTCAGAATAACAAGAACCTGAAAAGAATCTCTAGGAGTCTCTCGCCCCCCAGAATCCTAGTAATAAGAACAGCGATACTTACTTCAGAGGGTTTCCCCCCATCTTGCCTTTTGAAATCATGAATAGTTCCCAAATAGAGAAGAGAACTCATGCTCACATTTTACCATTTGTGTCAGACCTTTTTTTTTGTTGTTTAAGAAGAAATAAAACTAGCCAGCTGTGGTGGCGTCCTCCTATAGTTCCAACATTCTGGGTGATTGAGACAGGAGGATTGCAAATTAGAGTTCAGCTTGGGTAACTTAGTGAGACCCTGTTTCAAAAAATAAAAAACAAACAAACGTGAAGGCCCTAGGTTCAACCATTAAGTACCACAAAGAAGAAGAAGAAGAAATAAGAGGAGGAGGAGGAGGAGGCGGCAGCGGAAGATGGACTGGAAATAATAGGCTAAAGCCTCCTCCTGCCCCATTCCTTGTACAAAGCCGGAGGCTCAGGCTGGGGCTGGATTGGCTCTGGGGTGGAGCAGGCAGGCGAAGAAGCCCGCAGGGGCCCTGGGGAGTTAGGGCAGAAAGGAGGCTGGAGGGAGGCGGTGGCCATCTGACTTCTCTTCCTACAGATTGTGTGGATGGAATGCTGGGGCAGAAGGCTGAGACCAGCAGACAGAGGGCAGTTGGCTTAGGACAGGGCAGGTTTGTCTAGGGGTGGCTGAAGGTGGCTAAAAGTGGCTGGAGGGGGGGTAGGGCCTGGGACCATGTGTGCTGGAGGAGCACGAACAGTTGCCAAGGGTAAAAAAGGTGGCAGGTGGTGTGGACAGGGAAGAAGGCAGAGGGCACAGGTGCCAGGGCCCTGGGATTGAAGACGCAGGTGGAGGCCGAGCCCACAGATGACTAGGTTCCTCTGCTCTGGGCCCCTGGTGACACATGCATTTCTAGGCATGTGCTTGTGCTGCTGAGCCATATCCCCGGCCTGACATGCGCATTTCTGACACCCTGATTCCCACCTAGATTTGAGGTTGCTGGAGCTCCAGTCTGGCTGAGGCCTGCACCCGCCCACATCATGCCTTGGCCTTCCCGTCTGAACTGTGCAAACCCAGATTCCATCCTGCCCTGGCCACCACACCCTTCCTTCCTGGTGACTCCTAGCAGGAATGGAAAACTGGTGCTTGCTGGTGGCATAGTAGGCCTGGATTTTATGTCATGGGTGTCACCTTAGGGCTGCTTGAGGTCCTCAGGACTTGGCAGCTGGCCTCCCCCAGAGACAGTGACCTGGCACAGCACCAGCTGGAAACTGCAATACCCTCTGTGACCTGGCCTCCGAAGTCATTTGTTGGCGCTCCTGCAACATCCTGTCAATCACCCAGGTTAGCACTCAGCACTAGTCAGCAGATGTATAGGAATAAGGGCTTTCCAAAAATATCATTTCAAGAAAGTGGGTTCAAATGTTAGCTCCACTATTTGCTATTTATCCTTGGCTAGGAATATTCTAATTCCCATCTCTACATGAGGACAATAATGCTGTCAAAAGACAAAACATTTAGCTATAGGTTTAACTGGCTTTTTTTCCCCCAGTACTGTACTGGGGATTGAACCCAGGGCCTTGCACATGTGAGGTAAGTGCTTTACCACTGAGCCGCACTATCAGCTCTTCTAGCTGATTTATTCCCAGTTCAAGAACTGGGGCAGCACCATTCTCTTATGGACAGCTAAGTCAGGTAGAAATATTATAGGCTGTCAGATAAGGCTGGGCCCTCAAGAGAGTCAGGACAAAGGTAAGAACACATTGCAACCTTGGCCAAATGCATCTGTTTGAAACCAGGCCTCAAGATAAAGACAAAATAACCAGGCCTGCATACTTCCTCATAGGACAAGAGAAGTGGTAACACCTAGCCTAATAAAATCTAGAAAGACATCAGTCACGCTGGTGGGTGACCAAGACCCCTCAGATTCATCACTTCTTGAAAAGGTCTTTGTTCTTTCCATGTGCACTTGCTATGTGACTTGCTTCCCCATTGGATCAATATTACCTAAGCGGCTTGATCTTATTGGCTGACTATAGCTGTAACCCATGTTACAACCATGTGGTTGTGCTCCCTAAACCTTCCCCTGAGAAGAGTGTCCTTGGCCATCCACTCAGGCCCCCAGCTGCCTCTCAGGAAGTGTTTCTCTCCCCCTCAGTGAGTATTTCCTACTCTTAACCTCTATAGTTCCTAAACTTCATTCTTCAGTTCTGGAGAACAAGAACTAGGCCTATTGAGCGTCCAGCATATTGGGAATTATAATATCCCATTTATATCATATTTGGAGGTCTTGATATCATTCCTAAATCAATTCTACAAAAACAGAATGAGAGCTTCCACTTAGCTATGGCAGGACAGTGGCTTTTGTAAGACGTGAACAAGGAAATAGAATAGCAGGGAAAGCTGATTGGTTAACACCAGGTTACTTCAGGTTGCTTTTTGGTGAAGGATTAAACCAGAGCAGATTTCCTTATTATACTGACTCAAATGGACTGAAACCTCCTGTTTTTAGGAAAAACTGGCCTGTTTTGGGATCCCTCTGCTTCCTGAAAGTTGCATTCTGGTTACATGGCATTTAGAGTGAATGACTCCCTTTTGCTTTGGTCTGGTCTGCTGAGACCTAGTGCCCAAAACAATGACCTCCCATAATTTTGTCCAACAGTGCCTCCGTACAGCATTGAGAGAAAGTGTAAAGGTCCTAGGACACACACCTGACACCCAGGGGCGCCTTCTTGTGACCATGATTGTTAGCTGCATGTCCTGGAGAGGAAGGACAGGGAGAGACTAAGCGGTTGAGACAGAGCAGGAGTCTACCCTGTTGCCCTCTCCCTTCCCTTGGGGCTGCAGCAGCGATCTTCTCCTCTGGGGCCCTGTGCTTCTAGGTATTGAGCATACCTTACCCTACCCTGCTCTCAGGTCCCGTCCCCAACCTGAGCATCCACTCATCCCAGAAGTCTCAGCTGCAGCTGCTCTTCCCCCAGCGCTTCCAGCCCCATGCAGGCCCTCGGAGCTTTTCCTGACACAAGCCAGGGGTCCTGAGGAAGGGAGAGGCACTAAATTATAGGTTGGCCTCTGTCCCCCATGCCTACAGTCCAGGTGTGACCCCTCTGCCATCAGCCACTTGAGCCCTAGGCTGTGGAGGTAGGGACTCCACTTATCCCTTCAGAGTTTCTGAGTGTTCCCCACCCCATATGTCGTTATCCTGTTACTGATGGAAGTGGGTCCCATCTCTCACAGAACCTGATGCAACAAAGAAACCAAAAGTACTCTGAAAACCACTGATGGACACTGGAGATGCTTCAGGTTGTCACCCCCAGCTCCTAAGCCTCACCTGGGAAGGTGGGCGGGAGGCTAGGCTCTGACCTGGATGTGGACTCTGTAGACCATCTCCACGCAGCCTCACCCAGCAGGTTCTCAACAACTGAGTCTCCTGAGAAGGAGTAACTTCAAAAGTGAGTCCTTGCCCTGCACTTCTCTGAGTGGTTGAGCAAGAGGCTGGGCTGTAGGAGGGGAAGCTGGGGCACCTCTTTGCCATTGGACAGGTAGGGTAAGGTATGCTCAATACCTAGAAGCACAGGGCACCAGAGGAGATGCCTACCCCTGAGGCAGGGTAGAGGCTCCTGTTTGTTCTGGCCTCCACCCACAACACAGCTTGTAGGTTGCCTGGCAACCATTGTTCCTTTAGTCATCATTGACTTTGAAAATAAAAATCAATTTCCTTTATGATATGAGTAAGGTGGCAATATGAACCACCAAGTCTAAATGGTCTGATTTTATTGCCCAAAGATTTATGAACAAGGTTGTACACAGAGCACTAGTTATAAGAGGAAAAGTTTTGGGGGAGGGGGTGAATTGAGCAGTCTGTGGAGGTGTGTGATATTGAATATTCTTACAGCAGAATATGTTGCAGGAAATAAAAATGCTGATGGAGACCAGGTGTACTGATAGGGAAACATTCTCATGGAGTAAGCAAAAAATAACAAGCAAATTACAGAACA